TTTTTTTTTAATTCATTCTCTGTAGAGACTGTCAAAAATTGCTAATGCCGACTGTATTTCAAGTCGTCATGGCAGGGTATTGGGAAAAGTTTTCAATTAGCAATAATCGCACCTCGGATAAACCTCATTGGCTACAATACTGCCACTGAGCAAAGCTTGCCCAGATAATTTTTTGTATTTTAGTAGAGATGGAGTTTCACCGTTGTTGCTTAGGCTCATCTCAAACTCTTGAGCTCAGACAATCCACCCGCCTCAGCCTCCCAAAGTGCCAGGATTACACGTGTGAGCCACTGTGCCCGGCCATGGCAGCTTTTTAATTTCAATATTCGTAACTTCTTATACTGGTCAGAGCAGTTCTCATTTAATCCCAAGAAGGCCCCATACTCCCTTTGTCTCTAAGGGAAAAACTGGTAAGTCAGGGAGTCAAAACTATGAGGTATGACTATAAACTTCAGGGAATTATTTTTGTTTTTGATTTCTAATTTTTTTTCTTTTCACTGCTGCTATATTTTTTTTTCTTTTTTTTTTTAAGAGAGGGGGTTTCACCATGGCCAGGATGGTCTCCATCTCTTGATCTCATGATCCACCCGCCTCGGCCTCCCAAGGTGCTGAGATTACAGGCATGAGCCACCGCGCCCAGCCAAAAGATTTCTAATGTAATAAACTGAAAGAAAAGTAGGCTCGGCGCGGAGGCTCATGCCTATAATCCCAGCATTTTGGGAGGCCGAGGCAGGCAGATCACTTGAGGTCAGTTCAAGACCAGCCTGGCCAACATGGTAAAACCCCGTCTCTACTAAAAATACAAAAATTAGCTGGGTGTGGTGGCATGTGCCTATAATCCCAGCTACTCAGGAGGCTGGGGCAGGAGAATTGCTTGAACCCGGGAGGTGGAGGTTGCAGTGAGCTGAGATCGTGCCACTGCACTCCAGCCTGGGAGACAGAGCAAGGCTCCGTTTCAAAAAAAAAGAGAAAAGAAAATACATGTGATGTGGCTCCTCACAAGCAAAGCAGAGAGGCTAGAAGTACGGCCTCTAGAATAAGTCTTAACTCCAGCTCTGCTACCTTCTCTGTGACTTCAGGAAAATCACCTCTCTCTGAGCCCTGATTCCTCATCTCTGCATTGGGACAATAGGACCTCTCACATAGCAGTGTCATAAGAACTGAAGAAAATTCACATAGTTTCAGGTTTAGCAAGGCCCTCAGTAAATGGGGTCTGTTAGGACATTCCAGTAGCTACAGCTGACCGAGGTTGAGGCCTGCTAGGATCTGAGCAGTCCGAGAAGAAAAGCCTGGGCAAGGGTGAGCCTCCCCTTGCATCCCACACTTTACATTACCTCCCACTTGCATCCCACATGCCGGGCAGATGATTTTCCAGGGGGCATCCAAGGTACCTTGGTTTTCACCCGGACACTCCGCCGCAAATTCACAGTGTCCCCTTTCATTCCTCGCTTGTGAGATTTCTGTGGAAAGGGACAAACCCAGGGTCACTTCCACACCCAGCTGGCCACGGTGCCACTCTGGTGGCATCCATCTCCGACTGGCAGGATGCCTCTTCTGACTAATGTTACCGCAGCTGCTCCTGGATGACAGGCCTGCCTACCTTCTAACCTGGAAACCGGCCTCCAAGAGTTTGTTTGTCTCCCAAACCTTTGGAATCAGAGTGCGAGGAGGCTGGGCTTAGCAGGATCACCGAGATCGACAGCTACTACCTCGCCCCACTGGCATGCTCCTACCTGGCTGCTGGTCGCTGATGGTTTCGGGAGTTTTTTTATGTGGACGTGGACAGGGGTGTTCTCATCCACGTGAACATGTAAAGGGGGAGTTGAAGAGCGGTCCTTCATGGTTGGCTTCTGGCAGGTGGGGGAGGAGGACAACGCAAAAATGGTTGATCTGTGGATGAGTAAACTGGGCATAAAAACAGAGCTCACAGCCTCTGGGGGCCACCAAAAAGCCTAGCCACCAAGCGAGCAGGACAGCTACCAACTACTGGCATGCAGGCAGGGAGCAAGGTGGGAGTGTCATTCAGCAGGCTCCTGCAGAGATCCCAGCAGCAGAAGACCACCAGGAAGATTCTGGTCTACTCAAGAGAGGGTCTGCAAGACCCACCAGTTCTAGAACAGAGCCCAGACACAGGCCCAGGGGTCCTCAGGGCTGGATCTCCTATAAACCTGCTGGAATGCACAGCTCCTCCTTGGATGTAGTGAAACACAGCGGAAAGCAGGCGGATCCTTCTACACAGTGATCTCAACTGGGCATGCAGATTGGCGTGGGAAATACACAAAATGCTCAGGGTGCAGAATAAATCAGACAGCAGGCAGATCAAAGACCATGAAAACAGAAAGCTGGAGGAAATGCCAAGGATGAGAAGGTTGTCTAGATCCTAAAGAAAACATGAGCAGGGCAGAACCGCAGCTACAAACCCCTCAACCACCACCAGCTCTTATCCTTCCCCCCATTTTTTAAATTTTCTTTTATTTTCCTTTTTTTAATTTTTGAGACGGAGTCTCACTCTGTCACCAGGCTGGAGCACAGTGGTGCGATCAACTCACTGTAACCTCCAGCTCCCTGGTTCAAGTGATTCTCCCGCCTCAGCCTCCGGCATAGCTGAGATTACAGGCACCTGCCACCATGCCCAGCTAATTTTTGTATTTTTAGTAGAGACGGGGTTTTACCATGTTGGCCAGGCTGGTCTCGATCTCCTGACCTCGTGATCCACCTGCCTCAGCCTCCCAAAGTGCCAGGATTTCAGGCATGAGCCACCACACCCAGCCCTTCCCCCTATTCTTTAAACGTTTTTTTCTCTTATTTTTCTTTTCCTTTCTTTATTGAAAAAATGTCAAGATTTTAGGATTTGACTAGAGGGCTAAGTCTAAGATAATTTCCTCACACCTGGCAGCCTTACCACAGGCAAAAATAATCAGAATTAAAAATCAGCAGGGTAGGTATCACAGCACCTAGCAGAGCACCTGGGCCGTGATGGTGCCCAGTAGGGTAAGGCACCTCCTACAAATGGTGTGCAGAAGCATTTTTAGCAGGGTGACCAAAGAGGGCTGCTATGTGAGCGCGTCACCTACCGTCACGGTTACACTTGGTGCGCCACAAGGTGTTCTCAAGACCTTTTTCTGCGTGAGACTCGTTACTCCGTTCTTCCCGCACGATGGAAACCTGCATGCAGGCACAAGAACCAGACTGTAAGCAGAGAACTAGGGCTCTCTTGTATTTTAGATCTCGTGAAATTACACACTCCCTATGGTAGCTAACAAGTTCATGGCTAGGAGAACCAGCCTGGAATTCCTTGTCTCTCCTGAGATGAGCACCAGATGTACATGGTGTGCCCAGCAGTGGGATGGAAATAGGGTAATGGGCATTTGCAGGCTGGATATGTTTTTTTTTGGAGACAGAGTCTCATTGCTGTCACCAGGTCGCAGAGCACTGGTGCAATCTTGGCTCACTGCAACCTCCACCTCCTGGGTTCAAGCGATTCTCCTGCCTCAGCCTCCAGAGTAGCTGGAATTACAGGCATGCGCCACCACGCCCAGCTAATTTTTGTATTTTTAGTAGGGACAGCGATTGCCATGTTGACCAGGATGGTCTCGATCTCCTGACCTCGGGATCCGCCCACCTCAGCCTCCCAAAGTGCTGGGATTACAGGCGTGAGCCACCACGCCCGGCCGCAGGCTGAACTTTTAACATATCGTCACATCACACGTATTGTGACCCTTGCTGAAAAGCCTAGCTGACATCTTGTCAGATGACAAAAAGCAGGCAGCACATGAGCAGCAGCCAAGGTGCTAGTTTGGCCAAAGGTAGAAGCACCCAGGACAGTGCCTGGAGCAGAGATGGCCCTGGAGAAAGGCTCAGTGAGTGAATGACATAAATAAGAGCATCGGTGGCCAAGGCTCATGCCTGTAATCCCAACACTTTTGGAGGCCAAGGTGGGCAGACTGCATGAGTCCAGGAGTTTGAGACCAGCCTGGACAACATGGCAAGACCCCATCTCTACAAAAGATACAAAAATTAGCTGGGTGTGGTGGTATGTGTCTGTAGTCCCAGCTACTAGGGAGGCTGAGGTGGGAGAATCACTTAAGCCTGGGAGGTGGAGGCTGCAGGGAGGTGGAGGCTGCAGTGAGCTGTGACTGCGCCACTGCACTCCACCCTAGGTGGCAGAGGGAGACACCATTTCAAAACAAAAACAAGAAAGAAAAAAGAAAATTTTCAAAGAGCATTAGGCTCAGGCACAAGAAGTCACTGTGATGCACGCTCATCAAATTAAGGCTCAAATATTCCCCTAAGAGAATAAAAAAGTATTTCCCAAAATATTTCACTTGCTATCCTTTAAGCTCTTAAGCAGCAGGGTTTTTTTTTAATGCCATGTGTAATTCACCTTGCTTACACATATACTATACAGCTCCATCACTAGATCTACAAAGACAGAAAAAAAAAAATGCAAAAGTTTAATTTGGTCCAAAATCTGTCAGCAGTATATCCAAGAACTCCAGGATGGGAAGGGACTTGGAATAACCACTTGATCCATCTCATTGCAATTTTCTTTTTCCCAAGATGGAGTGCAGGCTAGAGTGCAGTGGCCCAATCTTGGCTCACTGCAACCTCCACCTCCTGCGTTCAAGCAATTCTCCTGCCTCAGCCTCCTGAGTAACTGGGAAAAGGCACGTGCCGTTATTCCCAGCTAATTTTTTTTATTTCTAGTAGAGACAGGGTTTTACCATGTTGGTCAGGCTGGGATTGCTTTGTATGTCTAGTAGAGATGGGGTTTCACCATGTTGGTCAGGCTCTAAAATTGCTAGAATTACAAAGGCATGAGCCATCGCACCGGCCCCCAAAGTTAGGGGGAGATCACAGGCTGAGTGACCTGGGGGTGGCGGGGAGGGTGGAGCAGGGATGGGGCAGTCCCAAATTATCATCTTGCCCTCTCTACAAATACTTGGGGAAAATAATGCAACATCAAAATGCATGGAAAAAATACTTGAGCACTTTGGTATGCATTTTGCTGTATGTATATAACATCTTGATTTTAAAAAGAAATATATATATATATGGGGAGAGAGAGAGAGAGGGAGAGAGAGAGAGAGACACGAGACTGAGAGAGAAAGCGCTCTATTGATCCTTTAGCCAAGTAATACCAAAACTGAGAAGACAGGCTTTTTTCCCTAATTATTTAGAACATTGTTCACGTAAAGCCAACAGTTTTGGGCAATCTCTCCGTGGGTTTCCTGTCAAACCACCTGGATTCCACCATCTGGCTAACTGCCACATCCACCTCTTTACATGTTATTTATTTACACCTGGATTCCCTTCAAAAAGGCTCTGAACCAGCCGGGCGCAGTGGCTCACTCCTGTAATCCCAGCACTTTGGGAGGCCAAGGCAACTGGATCAAGAGGTTAGGAGTTCAAGTCCAGCCTGGCCAACATGGTGAAACCCCATCTCTACTAAAAATACAAAAATTAGTCCAGCCTAGTGTTGCGCGTCTGTAATACCAGCTACTCGGAGGCTGAGGCAGGAGAACTGCTTGGACCCAGGAGGCAGAGGCTGCAGTGAGCCGAGATCTCGCCACTGCACTCCAGCCTGGGCAACATAGTAAGGCTCCGTCACCAAAAAA